CCCAAAAAAAAGGTATATCGCTACCTTAGAATTACAAAGGTCTATCTGACATGTTTGGCCGTTTCGAGTTTGAGTTAATAACACCATGAGGTCAGAAACCAAAATGTTCTATCTGCTCTATCAAAATCGTATGACTACGTGGAGTCGTTATCAAGATAGTCAAAGAATTGCATTCGAAAAAGCTTGACATGTGAAAATAAAAAATTTTGACTTCAAACTTCTCGAAATGAGCTACTGAGCAGACAGAACATTGTAGTTCAAGGGTAGCGCTATGTGACTGTTACGGTCACCCCATCAGTCTCTTGAACTCTTGAACGTACAATCAATTCCCACACAGGACGGAGATGGCGATGCACGACGCCGGCGGCGGCGGCGAGAACGCGCGCATGGCGGCAGCGCCCACAGTTATTACAGCGTGGTCAGCGCTGGCGGCACGCGACATGTACGGCGGAAGAAGAAGCGTGCAGATGGCACGTACAGTGCCAGTGAGTCTTACCACAGGTATGTGGATGTCAGTTTACAATTTGTTTGTGTCGGCCAACTGCTTAAAATTTTAAATATTTACTTTCTTTTATTGCCGTTTCTTAATCTGTGGTATCGGGTGCATGTGCCCGAGAAATATTTGCAAAATATAGACAAACGCAAGAGAATGTACGTAATATAACTAAAACTACTTTTTTTTCTCTAATGAGAAATGTCGCTTTGTGTGTTTAGTTAATTTGCTTTCTTTGACTAAACGTCTGTCTACTATGTAGATCGGTGAAGGAAAGGAATATTTGAAATACAGCGAATATCAAAGAGTTGTAATGTTTTGTTGATAGATAATATCCTTCTTGGAAGAGGGACATGTTCCTTTTCAGTGAGGATTTTTTTTTCGCCTGGTAGACAATGTTCCTAAATATTTACAGATCATACCAGTAACCACTTTAAGAGTCGTCCGTCTTGCCAAACTACGTTTTATTTATAGAATACAAGGATAAACAAATCAAAGCAGCAATTGTAATTATTATTAGTATTAGTATCTTGATGTAGTCTTTTTATCTATTTAACATCTGGTCTTTTTATCTATTTAACATCTTTATATCTGTATCCATTATATTTCAACCCTAAATAAAACTTGGTTTTCCTTCCTCCACCGCCACCTCCATCTCCCTCTTCCCTCCTCCTCCTCCTCCTCC